GTGCTTATATGTCTTATCCCCCCCCCCCCCCCCAAACCCCTTCCTATGATAGTTTTATTTTTTCTTGTGAAGTTAATAGGAACAAAGAAATCGAGGATGATGACCCGAAAGACATTAAGGATATGCTAAGGTGCCTTGTAGAAAATAATAATGAGACACAATTGCAGATATAAAGGCAAGAGGCAACTATTCGCAACTTGAAGGCTCAAGTGAGTCAACTAGTTGAAGCTTTTAATGCTCAACAAGTTAATATTATGAATAGTAGCTATGAGCAGTGAGCATTAGAGATAAAAATTGATGTGCCAATGGATGGGTCAGAGTAGAACACCGACACTCTAACCAGCTAGAATTTGATGATGTCAATATTGATGAAATGATATTAGAGCCAGGCAAGGATATTGGGGATACAAATTTAGTTGACTCTAGTATAATTTGTATCGAGGAGGCTGAAAATCTTGAAGTTCAAGTATTTGAGCGTGTTGGACCTCATTCCAAATATTTCTCTACATTATATTCGGATGGTGAAATGAGAATTGATCCTTCTGAGCATAAAAAGGAGTCAAGAGAAGAGGTAGATGGGCCTTATATTTTGAAATTTTTTAGGCCGTCTAGGCAAGGTGACACTCCTCGGTCGAGAGCTAAAAAGTGCATGAGAATTTATTTATTTTTTGGCTCGCAAGAATTGGTACCCCCAAGAGCATAATCATAATCTTGAATCAAAACTTGGGGTTCGATTTATAAGCTCGAGGTGGAGGCAGAAAGTGATTTACGTCGTGTCGCGACTTTAAATCAGGTGCTTGTTGGGAGGCAACCCGACTTTACTGCTTTTTTTTATTTTTAATTTCTTTTTATTTTTTTTATTGTATTATTTTTGAAGTATCATTTTTGATTTTCTAGGATCATGGAAAGCAAAGCCATCGGAAGGAAGCAAAAGCAAGTAAGATGGTTAGAACTAAGTGTGGGGTACCCGCACAAAGAACCAAGTTTGGGAGAAGTCTGAGTACCCCGTGAACAACTAATGCTTCGGCTTTGGCCTACCAGGGAGTTTTTTTAACCTCTTGCATTTATGGGAGTGCATTGGGGACAATACACAATTTTAAGTCTGGGGTGAAGAGACTGTTTGGGTGATTTTTTATGCTATTTTAGGTGTGTTAAAATAAAAAAATAATTAGGTAAAAATAATCCCTCTTGATTTTCTTATGGCCACGGTTCATTTCTAGGGACGACTCTTCGAACCGGATAGTAGTTTTGAACTTTTCGCGACGATGGACTTCTTAGATAGTTTTCTTTAGGATTTAAAGTCTAAAGAAATACAAAAAAAAAACTTTCTTTCTTTTCTTTTTGAACTGATAATGGAAGGGGAAGAACTTGAGTGTCTATGTTGTTGACATGGTTTATATCGGAGCTAAGAGGTGGAGCATTTATGGTGAGTACTTTCTTTTTGATTCTTGTGACTATATGCCTTGAGAATATATGTGACTTTCTTTTGATGCTTGGGCTCGTCTATTGGATCTTGTGGTTACTTCCAAGTGCTTAGATTATACGATGACTATGTTAGTTACTTTAACTTAAGAATCGGGTCTGAGTTGTCCTGAGTAAGTCATGTGCATTGTGCTAGGTGAGATTTTTGTTGTACAGCTTGTTAGTCTAGAACTTGCCCCGTGTATGATTCGAAGCGAAATGATTAAGTCTTGTGGGTCTAGGAAATGATATAGGTATTTCTTTGATTGACCATTCAACCTATTTTCCTTTCAGTGATAACATTATCCGTAGTCAGCCCTTTTGAGCCTGTAAACCTTATTCTTTGGCACAAACATTATGAGCCAACCCTAATTTTGTTCTAAATCATATCTTGTTCACTCTTTACCTCTGAAAGCACTTAAGTCACTGAAAGAGTAAAAAAAGAGATTGGGTAGCTTTTGAATGGAACCATAGAAAGGCCAAAAAGGTGCACTTGTATGAAAAGCCTTACTAAATTAAGGAGAGTGAAAAAAGAGAAAACAAAAGAAACAAAAAAAAAAAAGACAAATGAATGGCACCTCCCATATCTTTATTTGGGCTAGTGAGTATCTATATGTTGATGTGATTAATGAAGAAGGGCTTATATGTGTATTATTTCAAGGCAAAACATCGAATTAGTCATGACAAGAAGGTGCTTAAAAGTGAAGTGTGATATATTAAAGTGCTTAGGAAGGTTAGTCACCATATATATATANTTTGCAAGCTTAAATTAATCGAGTCGTACACTATGAGCAAGCCTATAGTACGAACTTGGGTGACATACGGGTTTCATTGTGAGAGCGAGTGAATTCTTTCAATATTTGAGTCCTTAGACTATACTTGAACTTATATTTGAGTGTGGACTATTTCTCTCTGTGGTTTGTTGGGGAGGGCATATGAATTGTAAAGGATTGGTGAAATCCTTGGTTTTTGAGTTGGCACAAGAATCAAGTCATAGTGTGTAACGTATTAGAGTCAATTTTTTAGGCTAGGATGTTAGAAGAGTCACACAAATATTTTAAATAGTCTTGGAATTAGTCTAAAAATGAGAAAAGATATCAATAGTCCTTATGTTGGGTTCTACGCATTGATATATAAACCATTATCATTGATATGATGCTTGAGTATATTTTGGAATTATGTTACTTTCTGATGTACTTAATTTAAGTTGCTCGAGGATGAGCAAGAGTTTAAGTGTGGGGTAGTAATAAATGATGAAAAAGTGTATGTTTTTGAGTATGCTTGCATATTGTTTCTTATGTGAATCGTGGGAGATTACATGATTATGAACATAAAATATGTTCATCACATGTTTATTGTATGTAGAAATGAATTTGGATGGAAGTTGGCAAAAATTGGATGATTTGATACAAAAAGAAGTTGAGAGGCAAGAGCTGGAAGCGTACCACAATTGGTGCATTGCATAAAAGGTAGGCGCGAAATGGTCTAGGAAGTGAATCAAAACCAGAGAAGTATGGCACTTTCTCACTGGACATGGCACGTGAAAGAAACAAAGAAGAAAAAAAATAGCTGGGAGCGTGCCTAGGGGATGCGCGTTACACGAACCCTAGGCAGGTGACTCAACTTCTCCTTTTCAAAATAGGAGAGCTCAAGGCCGCCCCATACAAATCCTAATTGATATAAATATATGATAAAACGTCCTATTGAAGGAATAGACACTACTTTAGGGTAAGACAATACCTAAGGAGGCAAGAACACGCTAGGAGCAAGGAGGAAGATTCAACCACGAGTTTTTCCCCTTCTTCTTTCTATTTTTCATTGTTGGTTATGAATTTGTGTATTATGTTTTCACATACTTTTATGAATAGCTAATTCATCATCTAGAGTTTGATTAAACTTTTTGAAGGATGAACTTCCATTATTTTTCAATATAATTTTCCCTTTGAACATCTCTACTTAAAAAACAAAATTCCTACTTATTCAACTACGTGCTTATTTTAGTTAATTGAAAAGCTCTCAATTGACTGTGCCTATTTATTATATATTGCTTGAGAAAAAGTACATATTTAGGTTATTGTCGAACAACGTCACTCCCAAGGTATATATGAGATCAATACGGCGGGTTTAAAAGCAGGATTAGAGATAATGAAGTTTTGACGTGATCATAGTGAGCGGTAAAAAAGTGTGAGCTAGCGTAATTCGAGAGAATATGACTAGTACATTATTGTAGTTGATCGAGAGAGAGTTACGATAAGTCAAGTGCTTATGATCAGTAAAGAATACTTAGGCAAAATTGTAGGAGACATTGCGGGAAGGATTCCGACAATTGAAAAAATCATAACTCTAGGCTTTTTCAATCTTGTCTCCAACCCTTAGCATTTTTCGTGGTTAATTCACTCTTTTAATTTGTTAGTTAATTAATTTAAAATAAGTATCTTTATATTTATAACTAAGAAATTGTTCAAACTTGTCTTCTTAGTGATAGTGAACAGTTATAGCGAAACCTTAGTTCTCTATGGGATTCAACTCCAGACTCTTAGACTGGATTATATTTACAGCGACCGCTTATCCTTTTTAGGATTAGAGTTGGGCGAGATCACTTTGCCATCACAATTTAAAATATAGTTGAACTCTAATAGTCGCCCCGAAAAGTGGTCAATCCAGCTAATTTTTTCGATAACGAAAGAAAGAAGAAAATTCATATAAATTGACAACGAAGTTATATTATAGAAACAATATTCTACCAAAATAATGAAGCCATTTTTGGTTTCTCTTGCACAAATAATTTTGAAGGGACCAAAACCAATTATTGATTTTTTATAGAGCAGAGGAAGACAAAAATTATCCGGCCAATGACAGATCAATTTTTGTTTTTGATTGTAGCTCTCCTTCTATGGTGTCTACATTCATTTGGGTTTGTTATCCTTTTTTTTTACATTTCCCTTTCAAGGATATAATCCAGTCCTCTCCCTGTCTAAACAAACTCAACCAAAATTTGAAGACGAGTAATGTTTTGAAACAAACTCTAACGAATGGAATCCTAACCACCTCCTTATTCTACTATTCGTAATCCTTTTTGAACACTACCTTTCCTCTACACCACCCATACCTTTTACACACACAACACGACACTTATTTCCTTTGGTGACCCCATCTCACCAAATAATATATATTTTACTTTATCAAATTACACAAGGAAATGTTAAAAAAGAGTAATTTGCACCCCAAAGGCAGAGAATATATTATCAAGTTTACACGATAAGTAATATCTTGCTTATGACAAGAGATAATAGGGCTTTGCAAATTATCTGATTTTATATATAAAAAACTCTCACTTTAATTTATCGTCCTTTCCCATTTTTATATCCGGTCTCACCATATTCAAATTTCTTTTAGGATAAACATTATGCTGCAAAGTATTTATCATTTATTATTATTGGATTAAGTGATCCATTCCTGGTTGTTTCTTCTGTTGAAATTTCCGTACATAAAACAAAAGTCCCCATCCTTTTACTCAATGATATAAAACCCAATAAAGGCTCCTCTCTTTTCTACACTTAAAAATTAAAACAGTTTCTCGAACAGAAACAAACAAGTACTCCTACTAATGGAGACATTCAAGTCCACTACTTCTCTTCTTTTATTGACTCTCTTTCTTTCAAGCACTGTAACTCAAATCTTTGGAGTCAAGACACAAAGTGAAGCCCTTGGCCAATTTTACAAGGCTAAGTTTAGGCACAATTCCAACATTGATAAAAGCCATTTTACTCATGATTTTGATGATCAAGATCTCAAATATCTTCATAATAAAAAAACTGTGGTTTCTCAAAAAGAAAATGACAAGATTCAGAAACTTCCTGGCCAACCTCGAGTAAGGTTTGAGCAGTATGGTGGATATGTTACAGTTGATGAATCTGCTGGGAGAGCTTTCTATTATTACTTTGTTGAAGCTCAACGTTCTAAAGACTCTTTGCCTCTTCTTCTTTGGCTTAATGGAGGTAAATAATCTAAGCTTTTAGTAAGTACATACTTAACGTGTATATCATGTTAGTTATTATTTTTACTAGGTTATTAATTAAGTTTATGGTATAAATATATGTTATGCACAATTAGTGTGTAAAATTTAAACTCCTAATCTAAAACTCAAATACGAAGTTATTACTTACCTAACAATAATGTTATCATCCTCGCATTACATTGAAATATAGTATACCAAGTTTTTTATTTTTATTTTTCCCCTCAATTTTGTGTTTAAGTTATATTGCTTTACACATTCAGTTCAATTATAAGGTAATTAGAGATAAATCTCTAATATAAACATTAGTTTGTAATCCTTTCAAAAAATGGTAGTATTAACCTATTATCACATGTTAAAATACTCAAAATCTTTATGTTGTCTACATATATAGCTTGATTATTTTTAATTTCAAACAATATGGGTTTATTGTTTTCTTGTTTGATTAAACGTAATTTCATTTTTGTAGGTCCAGGATGTTCTTCTCTTGCATATGGAGCCTTTCAAGAACTTGGACCATTTAGAGTAAACAGTGATGGCAAAACACTTCACAAAAATAAATTTGCATGGAATCATGGTAAATTTCAAAACTATTTTCCTTTTCACCCAACTGAATTAATTAAAGATTATTGTTATCTCTCTAACTTATAAATTTTTTTTTAAAATATCATTAGCTGCCAATGTGTTATTCTTGGAGTCTCCAGCAGGAGTAGGTTTTTCCTACTCTAACACATCATCTGATGTTAAGATAGGTGGAGATAGAAAAACAGCTAAAGATAATTATCAGTTCTTAGTAAATTGGCTGGAAAGATTTCCTGAATACAAAGATAAAGATTTTTACATATCTGGAGAGAGTTATGCTGGTCATTATGTACCTCAATTGGCACATACCATTCTATATCACAACAAGAAGGCAAACAAGACTATGGTTAATCTTAAAGGAATTTTGGTCAGTCTCTTAATCCTTCTCAAATTTAATTCCATATAATTATATAACCTTTGTATATGTTTCTATTTTTTTTTTTTTTTATGTTTTTTGTCTTTGTGCTGAAATATATAAAATTATCTAGATTTGGATCTTACTAAAAAGAAATTGTTTTTCTTTTCTGAACATGGAGGAATAATTGAAATTTGGAAAAAATCATTAGAGTATGGGAGTTTCAGAATTAGGACAACTCTTGTTACATGAACAAGTTAGCATCAATCACATGGCCATATTATTCCGCATGGCCATATTTTTGTTCTTTGACAGCAATGACCAAGTTAGCATCACATGTAACAGGCTCCACAATATTAGTTTATCCAATAGCAATTTTGTCTATAAAATTTACATATATACAGTTTAGTAATTACATAATGTACGGATTGATATGAGATTCAAGGTACAAAATTCACTGCTTTTGTCTCAAGTTAGAAGTAAGATAATTTTGATCGTTAAAATATAATCTGACCATCAAACTTCTAAAATATCTGATTATAGTGATAATATTGTAGTTTTTTTTTTGGGGGGGAGCTCTGCTCCTATTATTTCGCACAAGTAAAGAACTTTTGGTAAGAATAATTTTGAAAGTTGGTTAATCAAAGCAAGGAAGTGGGAAAGGAAGAATAGCAGGCCAAACTACCATATTCAACGAGTAATTCGAATTAAGCAAAACAAATTTTAAAAGAACTATGAAGTTTGCTTGCTAAAGCTTACGAAGACAATGACATAACAACTCTTTTCTGTTACTTAGTCTATTAAAAAAGAGCTTACTACCAATTACAGTAAGCTCGGACAGAATGGTTGCTTCCTAAAGATATATTGCATGTGCAAGAAATTAAGTAAAAATAATTACAGATCGTACAGCTGTAAACTGCTTAGCTGCACTTTATATCTGTGTACTAATTAAAAAGATTGAATAAGTATTATGGTGCAAGCTAATCACAATAAGGTTAGGTAATAGTAATAAAATGTTGTAGTGTCAACATGATGTATATTCATATTTCATCCGATCCACAATAAGTGATTTTTTGGTTGTTTTCGCACGGATTAAGAAATTCACCTTTTAACATTAATTAGCAATGAAATTGACCATATTAACATTTACTATCTCTTCACATAAACACTCCTAACACATACTCCAATACTATTTACTCCAAGTGCAGTGTAGGAAAAAAATAATTGATTCATTTTTGAAATCTGAAAAAATTACTTATTTTGGATCAAAAAAAAGGAAAAAAATCACTTATTGTGGACAGGAGGGAGTAATTTTTTTTTCTCGAGTTCCACAACTATCAATTACTGCCTCATTAAATAACTCCTAACTAGAAAGTTTCTAATTATGTCATTTGGTTTAACTTGATTCTAATTATGTACTTATTATCCTCCACAGATTGGTAATGCAGTGATTAATGATGAGACAGATACAAGAGGAATGTATGAATATTTTGCAAGTCATGCACTGATTTCTGATGAACTTGAAGCTCAAATCCAGAAGCAATGCAAGTTCACAGAGAGTTCAGAATCAGACGAGTGCAAATTGGCACGAAGTAAAGCTGAATATAATACTGACCCCATTGATATCTACAACATATATGCTCCACTCTGCCATAATACCAATCTCACTGCCAAGCCCAAGAAGCCTTCTGTAAGTTATAGCATTATAATTTTGAGCTATTTGTGTTCTAGTTAAATTTAACTAGGAAAATTATAGCATGAAAATTGAATTAAATAATGGATTTAGGTTATATTACTCCACTGACAGTGTATGGGATTTTTACGGTGGTCAATGTAATTTGACTTGTTATAGTAGGTTATAATTTACCTTTAAAACGAAGTTACTCATAATGTACTTTCTTAAATGAACATAGCCTGATCACGTTACTGTCTTTTTTTTAAAAATAGTTCTTGGTTAAAAGAATAAATTTAGCATTAAAACTTTTAAGTCCAGTTGAACTTTTTGAGATGGATAGATATTTAAGTTAGTACAGAATTAAAGATATATTTTCTTAAAAGTCTACATATATAGAATATAAAGTTCGGTTCATATTCGTTTCCATTTTCGCATAACATTACAATATCGAAGCTATACAGGAGATCATGAAATAATTTTCGGTTGGAAAATATCTCTATTATAAGAGTTGGAAAATGATATGAGCTTAATTAATGTGTAAAATAAAATATCAAAATTGTAGATTAAACTTCATATCTAGTCTCTTCTCTACATATCATCAAAATTGTACACAAATGATTGACAATACTATTTACTGTGAAATGCAGTTAGTGATCGATCCATGTAGTGATTATTACACGATTGCCTATATGAATAGGCCTGATGTTCAGAATTCTCTCCATGCCAATGTCACCAACATTAAATATTCAAATTGGCAGCCATGCAGGTATTTTCAAAGAATTTTAGCCATATTAAATCTACTTATATACTCCTTTACTGCTACAAAATATTTCTTTTTTAGTCGAAACATTATGCAAATTAGAAGCATAAGACGAATAGAACGCATTGGAAGTCTATTACACAAGATGTTTGAGTTTATCTTTTCATATTCCTTCTTCTTACTTTAAAAAGCTCTTAGTACTAGTGCCAAGGTAACCAGTGGAATAGTTGAAGTACGACACCATTAAAAAAAGAACTGAAATCCAAAGTTTTATAATTTTGAAAGGGGATCGTGTTAACGGCAAATAATATCGGGGCGGATCTAGAACATGAAGATCGGGTTCAACGGAACACAGTAGCGTTTGTTCATACCTTGTATATATACTAAGAAATTCATTAAATATCTATAAATATAATATTGTGAACCCATAAACTATTGTAAAATAACTTGAGATCGTTGTAGGAGCACGCTAACTTTAAATTCTAGATCCGCCTCTGGCAAACAGTGGCGGAGCCACATGCACCAAAGGGGTGCCTACACCCCTTCGCCGGAAAATTACACTGTATAATTCAGTAACTCCGCCTCTGCCGGCAAACATGACTCATTAACCATAGCGGCTTGTGCATTTTCTTGTTTGTTAAAAAAATGTAAATTTACCGCTGATCTAACTGTTCTTATTTATAGTTATTGATTCCTATTAATTTATATTCTTTAGGAATTAATATAAACTGAAACTATCTTAAATATGCAGTGATGTCCTAACAAATTGGACAGACAGCTCATCAACCATTATTCCTCTTCTCAGAGAGTTTATGACAAATGGACTTCGAGTGTGGATATTCAGGTGACCACCTTAATTATCCTCCAGTAACCATTTTCTTTAGTCTAGCTTTTTATTTTTTCTTATTCTTTTTATATCTTCTTATTTTATGTGTTGGTTATTTAGTAATTAGAACTTTTTTATGTTGAAAAAAAAAATGCAGCGGTGACACTGATGGAAGAGTGCCTGTTACTTCAACCAAGAATTCTATTAAGATAATGAAGCTTCCTATCAAAACTGCGTGGCACCCCTGGTACCTCAGTGCAGAGGTAATCATACTATTAGCCTCTAAATTTGTTTCCATTTTATAATATAGGAATATGAATATGCTATATATATCCCTGTTTGAGACAATATTTCATTGAATTTAGAAAAAACAAGACCATTTAATTTTATTTTATTTTTAATTGTTTCTGCCGTACGGTGACAGCGCTCTCTATAGATTAAAAAAAAGATCTAATACAACAAAAAGGAAACTGTACATACACATGCCTCCAAGTTAAAATGGACATATCCATTGAGATGACGTAATACCATATTAGCTCTTTCCAAAAATATACTCCTTTTCCTATTACTACAAACCTCTGTGTACTTCTGATGAAATTATCCAACTCCAATAGGTATTGAATAAGAGTTTTCACAACCCTGTGTCTAAAAGATGGCATCGATCTGCCATTTATCCATCCTTAAACATCCCAAAGTCTGTCTGGGTAAATCTCCAGGGTCAAAAATCACCATCCATTTGCTCCCAATTTTTCCATGACATCAGCAACTTGATTCTCTTCCCTAAAGCAATGACTGAATTTAATATTGGTGTTATCTTGTTCAACCATCTTCTTTACTTCTTTGATAAATGGTTGTAGATGCCATGGTATATTTGTTTTTCCTTGCAATATCTGAATGATTAGCATGGAATCACATTCAAGAATGATATTAAAATATCCATTACTTAATCACCAATGAACTCCAAACCAAGCTGCCTTTGCCTCGGAATAATTATTTCTTCCAATGTCTAGTTATTGTGAGAAAGCCATCACTAACTTAGCTTCGTGATCTCTGACTATGCCCGTGCATCATTAAAACTTCTCCCATCTGTGTTCACTTTTATCCAGTTTGCTGGATAATTACTTTTAAATTGATGCATCATTAAAACAGGACCATTTAATTACTTTTAAATTGATCTTATCTGTGTTGTTTAAAATGTAGGTTGGTGGATATACACAAGTATATAAAGGAGACATGACATTTGCAACAGTACGAGGGGCAGGACATCAAGTACCAAGTTATGAGGCAGCTAGATCCCTTTCACTTGTCATGCATTTTCTTGCTGGAACTGACCTCCCCGATAAACACAATTAACTAGTTTTCTAGTCAATATATGTTCACTTAAGATCCTTTATTCGTTTCATGCATTTATGGCTTCAGGTTTCAACATAATGTAGCCTTCTTCTTTTCTTTTCTCGAAATAATCTATAGTATTTGATTTTTAATACAGTCAAACTTCTCTATAACAATCAATTTTTATAATATTATTTTACTATAACATCCAAATTTTCTTTTGAGCCAATTTTCCACGTTATGCCAGCCAAAAAATGTCGGAAAAACGATTTCATAATAGAAAGATTTGATTGTAGTAACATCTGATTTTTCAGATTTTATAGAGAGTTTCGAAAACAATAGTGACACTACTTTTTTGTTTTGTAGGAGAAAATGAAAAATATATTCATCTTGTTTGACCAAAAATATAAATCTTAGTTTAACTGATTAAATTTATACAACTAGGGGTTAATCTGAGTTAATAATAATCTATACTATATTAAAAACACGAATGCCCTTATCGAAATGTCGTTCGCCTTTTTTACCGTTTAAAAATAGATTTCACATTGGATAAAATTATAATTTAAGTTACTTTCCTAATATTTAGGACTTTAAAAATCACTAAAATTTTAGTTATTAGATTATTTCTTATTTGAACTGTGTATGAAATCCTAATATGTAGGATTTAACAAGAATACTATAATAAGAAGTTACTTTCCTAATCTTTTTGCCCTTTTGTCTTCTTGTTTTTTTATTTTTTTTGAGCCGAGGGTCTTTCGGAAACAGCCTCTCTACTCCTTCGGGGTAGGGGTAAGGTCTGCGTACACACTACCCTCCCCAGACCCCATTAGTAAGATTTTACTGGGTTGTTGTTGTTGTTGTTGTTGTTGTTGTTAATATAATAAGAAAAAGAAAACATGTAAAAGGTTCTCCAACAAAATAAACAATCCGATTACGCAGCTTTATTTTCTTTCATGAAAATTTTAGTTCCCGACGACACGATGGTGTTTTGAAATCAAGTACAAATTATTTGACTTTTAATTTATAGATTTTTTTAGCATTGAATAATAGTATAAATAAAAATAGATAATAGACAATACACTTCCATATAATACTTGAACTCCCTTCATATTCAAATAATATTGTTTCTTCATTGATTTTTAGTGTAATATTTAAAAATGACACTCAAATATTAGAACAAATAATTAAGTATTTTTTCTTTATCAATTTTTGTGTAATATTTTGAAAATTACACCAATATCTAGATAAAAAACTAAGAAAATATTTAAAAATTTAAAAGAATGTTTACATTAAACAAAATTCAAGGATAATAATCCTGGGATAAAATATAGGATTATTTAATTTCGTGTTTGGATATTTATTTTTTTGGTATAAAAAGTTGTGAGAATAGTTATACCACAATCTTAATTAGCTGCTATGTTTATTCTACATTCAATGTGAGATAATAATTTGGGAATTTGATATCCCATGATAAAATAATCAAATATCAAATTATCCTTCTCCAAAGCGCTTATTTCAAAATAAGAAGACCAAGTTTAAAGTTAAAAATAAAATTTTATCCAAGTTTATATAAGAAAAAGCAAATACATTTTTTATATTATACTCCATACGTTCTATTTTTCATTCAATAAATCAAATATTTATCAATCGAAAGTATATCTAATAAATATTTTTGTTATTACTTGATTTCCGTAATTATAACTTTTGCATTATAATCCCACTACAACTTTTTGTGAATTAAAAGACCCCTTAGGCTACATAAAGGAGAAGATTGGCTTAAAAAAATAATTAGACAATAGAGAAAATTTAGCTACAGTATAACACCTAAAGTCAAATTGGTAAAAAATGCCAACTTGAAATAATAAGGATAACACAACAGAAGATAATATTTTGTATTATAAATGAATTTATTAATTTTTTATTTTTATTTATTCCAACAAATGACAACTCATGGGTATTTGTTTATATATTTGTTTGTAAAATATTAACTCAATATTAGTCGTTTTCAGATTTTACACTATAGTTATCAATTTTTCTTGAGCTATAGGGACAACCTCTTCATTCCAAATCTCTAAAGAAATAAAAAAAATAATTTTCAATAGGTTTTATTTGACAAATCTTTAAAGAATCTTGAAAATAATATTATGCATTACTTGCTTGTTTTTAATATTAGATCACATAAATAATAACAACTTTCATAAGATATTCCCAAAGAGGTCTTTAAAAAAAGAATAAAGCATTTACGGATTTTTATAAAGAAAGATTTCTTTCTTAATTGTGTTAGTTAAATGGGATCAACATTCATCATTCAAGATATTTACTTTTTGTTTTATAACCAAAGACATTATTTAAATATTATTTATGTGATTTTATAAAAATTATATATCTATTGATATGGGGTACACGTGCAAAGCGCGTACCCTAAAACTAGTATCCTAAAGATGAAATTCTCGGTATGGTGATAAATAATACGTATATCTATTCCAAAGGTTATGATGGTGCACAATAATGACAATATTCAGAGACCCAAAAGGAAGAAATGTAGCATTAAATAGTGATGAACAGCAATAAATGGTATTTATGTAAATAAAACTTATGGGTCACCCGAGAAAGTATGAAATCAGTAGATGTTCTTTCTGACAATGATGAATGATAGATCAGCCTTTGAATATTCGAGTTATTCTCGGATCCAGTGGAGAAGTGTGTATCAAAATCTTAGTCAAAAGGCTATTTTTGTATGCACGTAATAAGGGCAAATTCTCTCAATAAAATCAAAGTGTACTTTACAAATGAATATTTCATGTCCCATATCATTGTGTCTCTTTATATTTATAGGGAACGTGTTCCAGAAAATCTAGTGCCGAGAATATTCACTAGAATATTCTCTTTAATGTCCTATCTTGAGACTAACCGTTATAATTTTGTCAATGGTATTTGACCTCGGCCTCGATCCTTGACGACTCCTCGACCTCAGTCCTTGCTGACTCTTCGACCATGACCTTTATTGTTCCTTAAGCCACTTCGATACGTGGCGGCCTGGGAGTGTTTCGCTAATTCCATCCTCACTTAAGTATTCTAGAGATGGATTTTGACCCATACAGTTAGTCCCTCCGCTCATCGAGGTCCTCCTTGGGACGAGGTCGACGAGTGGACAGTGTCGTTTGTGATACAATTTTATCGAGCTGGCTATATAGGTTGTGGTCGTGGAGACATGGCAACATGGCCTTCTGAGGCCCACACATTTGAATTCTTTGAATTTTCCAGGAAGTCCGTTGGAGCCATCTGGTCCAAGAGAAAAAGTGACATCATGATGTCATGCATCATAATGACCTCGTTTTCCGATGTGTCGCATCGATTCAAGTACTAACCCTTGATTGGCTCTGCCATTTCGATCTTCGTGCTAATTATGACCTGCCGTTTTGATTCTGGTGTCCCCAAATCTTATAAATCGGGGATGGTTTATTGATTTTGAAACTTTTTCCAACTCCTTCTTCTTCTTAAGCAAGAGCTTCTCCTTCATCTTCTTCGCAAAATCCTTGCAACTCTCTATTGTTTTCAAAAGTCATTTCCTTTTGCTTCACCATCTTTTTTCTGCAACGATGTCCTTGCAATCATCAGATATTCATATGGAGGATCACTCCGTTCTTTTAGACGTGGGTTTTCCCGAAAAGGGGGAAGATAGCGGAATTGCCGCCGATGAGGAAAGTTTACCCATTGTAGAAGAGATTGTACCTCGATATCCAGATGCCAAACCAAACTTCCATAAGACATCGGAAGTGGTGACAGAGCGATTCAAATCTGCAATGATGGCAGAGCGATTAGCCGAGCTCTAGGTTAGACTCGGCCTACCTGGTCATGTAGACTTGATCCTAGCGGGCAATGACGAGGTTCGGGTTCACCGTCCCGGCTTCTGCGCCTATTACGCATACCCATTATTGATTGGGTACTCGTTTCCTTTACCGTAGCTGATAGAAGACTTATGCTGGTACTACAACATGTGCTCGGCGCAGCTCATCCCTTATATCTTTAAGGTGGATATGATGTTGACGAAATTCGCCAAATTGGCCGCCGTAAAAACATTACAGTGTGCCACCTAGGGACCTTGCTGAATCTTCACCATCGCAGAGGAAAATGCTTGGTGGTGAGGATGGATGACAAAGCTAGTCGGCATTTCTGGATCGACTACTTGTATGTCAGGACCGAAGATATAGTGTCCACCGTCGCAGACTTCCCCGAGGCTTGGAACCTTACTCGTGAGTTCTCTTATTAGATTACATACTTTATGTATCTAGTGTTCTCCTTGTTGTTAGTCGGCTAACCAACTTTCTCCTTTTTGCAGCTACTATTCGGCATTTTCAGATGATAACCCGCATCGCTTATTGGGTTAGACAGATCCTCCCTCATACACCGGGGGTGCGTGATTGGTCGAGCTTCTCACAGAGATTTCAGTCGTCTCCTCCCTCAGCAGGTAACTTTTCTCCTACCATTAACGCCTTGATTTCTTTGCCCGTTTTCCTTCGTCGATTTTCCTCCTTCCCGTTTTTCCTTAATTTCGGCCAGGAGGTCTATAAGGAGGTCGAGAGCTCCCATGCCCTCATTCTGGAAGAGGAAGGCCATTACGCCCTTAGTTTCTGCCCTTGTTTTGACCGCGGCTGATCCTATCTCTGTTCCAACTCCTCTTGCCGTCGCGCCCGACTTTGTTTCCACTTCGGTCGTGGAGATTTCAGCTCCTCCTCTATAATCTCTCATCTACGAGAACGATGAGCCTTTTCCTAGTGATGGAGATCTCCAACCTCGAAAGAGGAGGTCCGTGGATGGAGTCACCCTGGCCGTTGATGCGGCAAAAGGGGACTTTTCGCTATGTGAGACGGCGACAATTCTTGTGGGAGATGATGTCGAGCCGAGTCCCGAGGTCGGTGAGAGCCGATGTAGATGTATATCTTCATTCTGCGGTGATGGAGACTGAAGGGACGACTGCTGACATTCTTGACCATTCGCGGCGAAAGGAGGCATCAACTTCTCAAACAGCTGCAGATACCTCCTTGCATGCCAACGAGAGGGGCAAAAACATCGCTGGGAGGGCCATGAGTCAGGTTCTGTTGTCGATGCGGATGACCTAAGGATGATCGAAGAAGGTCTTACCCAGCTTGAGGTAA